CTGGCCAGAGTGAGAGAGCAACGCCACACACTTATCCTGATAGCTCCGCACTGGCCAGCTATGTACTGGCTAGCGGAGATATATCAGCTGCTGTGCGGGCAGCCATGGCAGCTCCCACTACGCAGGGACATACTGTCTCAAGCGGGGGGGCGATCTTTCACCCACACCCAGAGCGCTTGGCTCTATGGGCCTGGCCCGTGAGTGGTACAATCTAAATACAGTGTGACATGACGCTGACCCTGGCAGCTGCCAAGCGAGCCAGTGGCACTCATGCACTATCTGTACAGTTTTCATGCACTCAGTTTGCCCCAGGGCAAACAGAGTGTGGTTGAAGCCTGACCCTGCCTTTATCTTAAGGCGGTCGGTTCGGGTACCACATTTGACATTGAGGCATCCTCCCCGCCACTGTATTCCTCCGGGGAACAGCGGCCGGATTTGCCGTGTCCAGCCCGTGCTTCACGCACGTACAGGGACAGATCAAGGGTGCTTTGTCATAATGACCAACCCCTTGTGTCCTGGGCTAACCCTTATAAGGGCAAGCCTGTTACTAAGCAACGGCTCTCCCACTGGTCTGTGGAAGCAATTGCTTTGGGGCTCATACGAGTCAGAGTTCGCAGGCACCCTCGGGTCCGCGAGCTCTTTCGACTCAGAGTCTGGCTGCATTCTGGACTCTGTCCAGGATGTCTCCCATCAAAGACATTGGTGCAGCGGCGAGCTGGTCCTCGCCGCTCACTTTTGTCTGCCTCCTAACAGGCTGGACGTTCTGCTCCCAGTGTGACTCAAGCAGTGCTGGGCACCTGGTTGAGTCAGAGCTCTACCTGTTAAGTTCTGGTTGGTTTGGTGATTTTCGAGATAAGCTCGTCTGGCAATACGTGAGCTACAATTTCCCATAGTGAGACATCGAACGGAGTGTTATGAATGAGAACTATAGGTTACTTGCGTAACCCCAGTTCTCAGAGTAACATGAAGTGAGATGTCTCACCAGACGGCCCTCCTTGCTATGGTGAAGCGAGAAGAGGTGCTTATTTTGAATGGCGCATGCGTTGTGGTGCAAGCTACTTATAGGGGGTGATTTCCCTGACGCTGACGTCAAGATCTCCAGCCAATCAGGATTGGCGTAATGAGATTGATGCTTCTGTTTGCTCCGCGATGAGGCGCATCCCATAGTGAGACATCTCACTTCATGTTACTCTGAGAACTGGGGTTACGCAAGTAACCTATAGTTCAGCGCCTACCAGGAGCGGGGGCGAGAACACTGCGTTCACTGGTTGAGTTAGAGACGAATGCCAGATGCAGCGTAACCGGGAGCGGGTGCGGGAACACAGCCTTCACCAGCTACCTGCTTAACGGAGAAACAAGGCAGTTCCGCGTCTACCAGGAGCGGGGGCGAAAACACTGCCTTCACTGGTTGAGTTAGAGACGAATGCCAGATGCAGCGTAACCGGGAGCGGGTGCGGGAACACAGCCTTCACCAGCTACCTGCTTAACAGAAAAACAAGGCAGTTCAGCGTCTACCAGGAGCGGGGTTGAAAACACTGCCTTCACTGGTTGAGTTAGAGACGAATGCCAGATGCAGCGTAACCGGGAGCGGGTGCGGGAACACAGCCTTCACCGGCTACCTGCTTAACGGAAAAACGAGGCAGTTTGGCGTCTACCAGGAGCGGGGGCGAGAACTGCCTTCACTGGTTGAGTTAGAGACGACTGCCAGATGCAGCGTAACCGGGAGCGGGTGCGGGAACACAGCCTTCACCGACTACCTGCTTAACGGAAAAACGAGGCAGTTTGGCGTCTACCAGGAGCGGGGGCGAGAACTGCCTTCACTGGTTGAGTTAGAGACGAATGCCAGATCCAGCGTAACCGGGAGCGGGTGCGGGAACACAGCCTTCACCAGCTACCTGCTTAACGGAAAAACGAGGCAGTTCAGCGTCTACCAGGAGCGGGGGCGAGAACACTGCCTTCACTGGTTGAGTTAGAAACGAATGCCTGATGCAGCGTAACCGGGAGCGGGTGCGGGAACACAGCCTTCACCGGCTACCTGCTTAATGGAAAAGCGAGGCAGTTCAGCGTCTACCAGGAGCGGGGGCGAGAACACTGCCTTCACTGGTTGAGTTAGAGACGAATGCCAGATGCAGCGTAACCGGGAGCGGGTGCAGGAACACAGCCTTCACCAGCTGTATACCTGATGAACGGGAAGAGTAGAACGGTGCTACTACTCACCGAACAGAAAAATGGATGTAGCTACATCCGCATTACCGGTAGAGGGAGCGGGAGCGAGAGCACTGCCTTCACCTAGCTGGGTAAAATAAAGAAGCTTAACAGTACACGCAAGACGTTAGCCGAGCAGCTGCTGCTAACGATCAAGCAAGATCAAGTCAAATAACACACATGTTTAAGACCAGATAACTAGCTTCGAAAGAAGAGAACAGCACAGAGCCGTAGTTACAGCAGTAACCATGGCCAGTGCTCACACGGCATATAACCGTAGTTACAGTAGTAACTATGGTCAGTACTTACACGGCTTAGAACCGTAGTTACAGTCGTAACTATGGCCAGAACTTACACAGCATAGAGCCGTAGTTACAGTAGTAACTCTGTCCAGTACTTGCACGGCTTGGAACCGTACTTACAGTAGTAACTATGGCCAGTACTTACATGGCTTGGAACCGTAGTTACAGTAGTAACTATGGCTAGTACTTACGGCTTAAAACCGTAGTTACAGTAGTAACTATGGCCAGTACTTACACAGCATAGATCCGTAGTTACGGTATTGACTATGGCCAGTACTTACGGCTTAGAACCTTAGTTACAGTAGTAACTGTGGCCGGTGCCTAAAAGTGTCAGCCAAACGGCTGCCCACTAGATAATATAATATTGGGAGGATGAAATCCTCCTTAATGGCCACACATGCAGAGCACACATCACACAGTGAAGATTTTTCTCTGCATATCGTCCTAGTGCTAGGAGTCTAGTACTAGGAGTCTAGTACTAGGAGCAGTAAATACAACGATATAGCGCTACTGCAACCATACCATGCGTTTACCGGGAGCGGGAGCGAGAGCACTGCCCTCACCGGCTGAGTTAAATAATGAAGCTTAACAGTACATGCAAGGTGTTAGCCAAGCGGCTGCTGCTAACAATCAAGCAACCAAGTCAGAACACAATGTTAAGACCAGATAATTAGCTTCTAAGAAAGAGAACAGCCCGCATAGAACCGTAGGCCATGGTTACAGTAGTAACCGCACGCGGAGCACACAGCACCCGCAGTGAAGATGTTCTCTGCATATCATCCTAGTGCTAGGAGTCTAGTACTAGGAGCAGTAATACAACGATCTAGCGCTACTGCAATCAAACCCTATGTTACCGGGAGCGGGAGCACTGCCCTCACCGGCTGAGTTAATAGTTAAGCTTAACAGCAAGGTGCTGCTAACAATCAAGCGACCAAGTCAGAACACAAATGTTAAGACCAGATAATAGCTTCTAAGAAATAGAAAGTACTTGCCTTACTCTCTGCATCTAAACGAAAAACGGGTTTAAAATATGACTCTGGGCTTTCCATACTAAATTGAATGAGGGACACAGCCAAAGCTGGGACTCAAATGCTAATGATAGCTCGGGCACAACGCCACAAGCAGAACTTTCAAAAGAGCATAAGGGCAACTTTATGGGAGAGGAAGCGGGAACACTGTCGTCACCAGAAAGTCTAAGCCAAACAAAAAATAAGACAGCAATCAGGACAACTTGGCTGGGAGAGGGTGCGGGGACACAGCCATCACCAGCAACAAGCTGACACCAACCTGTCTGTCGAGGCTCTGCACAGCGCACAGCCGGCCACAGCTCCTGGAGGACGCGTTAACGACCCGTAGCTCCGACTGTCAGTCACGAAGCTGCACGCGGCCAGCTGCTTGCAGAGAAATACCTCAGATCAAACGTTCAAACCTGAACGCTGTAGGCTACAAAAATGTAGCCACGGTACCCTCGCGCAGCGAGAAGATGAAAGGAACATATCCTCTGACGACACCGGCTGATATAGCCGGTGTCACGTGGGTCACAGGTGACTTTGTTGTTATTGGTGCTCGAGCTGCGCATGCGTGCGATGGACATATCCAGTGCTTAAAGCACCGCCTCTGGCGGTCAGTAGGGACGAAATAGAACATCCAGTTTCCTGGGGTCTTTGCTTTTTGGAGCTACACTTTTAGAACCCTGATAGAATCACAGATTCAATTATTTTGAAATTAGGTGCTTGTCTTATCCTATACTATACTGTATGTCATACTAGTCCTTGCATTGTTTTTCATTTGATCCTTTCAATATCAAATGTTTCTTTGAAAAAAAAGCATCGCCTACTACTCAGTGAATTTTTTAAATACATAGTTACAGGATATTTGAAAACAGAAGAATACAATGATGGACAGTCTGACTTAACATCTGTTTTATATGTCAAAACCATCACTTCTTCCTCCTGGGGAAAGCAAACGTAAGACACATAATCAATACCTTTTGCAAATGTAATAACTTGGATTTTTCGCTTCTGACTGAATGTCAGTTTTAATCTGAGAAGTGAACCATATTTTTTCCCAGTGAACGGTCAGTTCCCCATCATTCTTGCTTTAAACATTCAAACCCATGACTTTTTCTTGTAATTAACTTTCTCTATTGTCAACGCTTTCAAGTGACAGGTAGACCATAGGGAGCATTCCTTATTACCAGCCCCCTCCTCAAGTTACCTGTTTACACTGTTTTAGCTCCCCCGAGAGAGAATGAATAAGACAAATCACATCTCTGTTTGCTTTTGCACAATGATGCCTGTCAGAAAAGTGAGGAACTGGGGGAAAATAAATACATGGGTAATAACAAAACACAAACTAATAAAAAAGTAAATGTTTACGAGGAGTTGAATGAACGAGAATAGAAACTCAAATTGTGTGTTTTCTCAAGAAGTTTACTCTAACTGTTGACTGAATTGATTGTTTGAATTGTTCTCCTTAACTTGCCTCCTGTACTGATATGAATGAAGTATACCACCTCCTGTCCAACATGGTGAAGGACACAGGATCAGAGACCTACTTCCTGTCAATTCTTCAACACCTTTTGCTCATCAGGAATGACTATTACATCAGGTAACAGCTTGTCTCTTAAATAACCTAATGAAGCTCCTCTGTGTTTGGATATACTCACCATTGTTTTTTTATGGAAGTAAATAGTTGTGTTGCTTCTGTGGGTCTGTTTCATTGTCTTTGACAACACAAACATAAAACCAGGTATTTGTTTTGTACATTGTTCCCCCCAAAACTTAAAGATGTATTCAAGTTTGGAGCAAAACCTAAAATATCTTGATATTTCTGTAACTTAGTTTGCCTATAACTGCTGCCCGTGAACGCAACATCTACTAACTCAGAGAAGAGTGGTCTAAAAGTAATGTGGAACTTGACTTGACTTGAAAGACACGCTGACCCATAGAACATAATGACACACATTAATTCCCTCCGTGCAAGCTCATATTTAACAATGTGGAGCAGGTGACAATTTATTAGTGTAGTAATCATTTATTTATTATTCAAGTATTATGTCATTTTAAATGGTTGGATTTGCTTTCTGCCTTTCTTTTGAGGATCAAATAAGTCATACACTGGGAAGGAAAGCTACTTCTCCTCTGAATGGAGTGACACTGATGAATTCACTGCTGTGTCAGACGGACCTTTTTGCAGAAATAAGACTTTAAAAAACATGAGGGGGGGTGTGACTTTACCATAGATAAGTTGCCGGTGCTTTGGAGTTATGAATTATTCATTCCACATCTCCTTGTAGGAAGTGAGAAATGAAATTCACATTAACCAGCTAGTTCAGCCCACCTCAGCTCCACTGCCCATGTCCGCCTCTGTGAGACAACCCTACGCGCGATCAGTACCAGCGCTGAAAAATTATCGTCTTTTTAATTAAAGATATGTTTTTGAAATATTCTTTCCCTCCAGCCTCCATCACAAATGCAAGGACAAACCCACACATGTGAACACACAGACATCTATACTAGGAATTCATTTTGACTGAGGCATTTTATTCCAAATACATCACTGGTGTGTGATTTCAAATGATAGAATATGCGCTACCACGGTACATGCAGCTTTTTTCAATACATACGATCCATCTTTTTTCAGTCTTTGCCAATAAAGTAACCATCCTTTCATGTAATGGTCAACATGACTTTGAAATAGTAATAGTACAATTTCCCATTAGTAGTATTTGTGCAATCGATAATTTCTCATCAACTCGCAACAAAGACACAATCATGCATGTCAAAGAATGTGTCATAGCAACAAAAAGCTCTAGTTAAAATTGTTTAATGTACTGCATGTTGTAGACCCCTGTGACCTATTGTTGCTTTGTCTTCAAAGGAATGCAATTGTGCTCATAATATTCCATCTAAAATAAATTATTAGGTTGTTTTTTTATTGTATTTCTTGGAAATAATAGCACACATTGTACCTTGATTCATACATCAACTAAATATCTAAATTCAATGATAATTCATGTATCAGTATAATACATATTCTAATAATAACTTCAACAGTGGGCCAAGGGTTTAAGTGCTCTGTCTACTGTCATTCCTCCTAACACAACATTAGTTGTTGCGCTCCCCTCTGGGACTTGGTTTATTTTTGATAATTAATCTCTCACTGCAAGCCTAATGAATGGGAGCACACCAAACCCACCCAGTAAATATAGAGCAGATCTGCTCTTTTGGAGCCTAGTGATATGGGGATTAAACTGGTTATGTGGAGCAGAGCTGGATCAAGTGGCTTGGGCTGTGCTGAACTGCGAGCTAACATTGGAAGAAATAGAAGGTGCCAAAGTGAAAGAAGAGGTGGGGAATGATGCAGGGGACATTTGCCTGCTTCTGGAGCCCAGCCCTGCCCACTGTGGAGGGGCCTGACAGTTCTGGGTCACTCTCTGCATCTCTAGTTATCTCCACCCAGCCCCTATCTGCTGGGTGGTGGCGGAGGACGGAGGGAAAATAGGGCGGCTTATTGAGATAATAATGTGGTGTACATTGGTGACAGTTGTAAGCCGAGTGCCACAGTGCTTAAGCCATGCAGGGCAATGTGTGAGCTTTCACGAGCTTGTTCCAATCATGAGTGGGCGAATCCACCAGCTCAAGCTTAATGTATGGCATTTCATGCTTTCAAAACAGTGCACCTAAATGCTGATTTATTCTTATTTGCTTTGGCTCAGAATTGTGTGTTTTTCCTTATTTCTGTTCATAATGTGATACGGCCTGTCCACCCACAAGGCACCAGCACAACATAGCTGTTGGATTTATGGGCAACAGTGAGAAAGCTTTGGAAATAAACTTAATTTCGTTTAAATATTGATAACATAAGTTGCTGTTTTTCATGTTCCTTTTACTTTCAACACATACTTAGATATATGTGCTTTCTTGGTATTAGACACATTCATCCTCCTTGCTCACATCTCCGCCTGCCCAAATCAATTATTACATTTCAATAACGTGAATCAAATCAAACTTTATTCTTAGAGGGCTTTTCCAGCACAATGGTAAAGTGCTTTGTAAACACATTAACAACAATGAGGAACAATACAAACCTCCCCTTTCCAGTTAATAAACACATAACACATTAATAAGAACACCTACTACCAACACAGGACTGAATAAAACAATAAAAAAACAATAAAATGAAGATACAAATAAGATTATGCAATAATACATTGAGAATAAATATCAATTAAAATCAAAATTAAAAAGGAGGGTCTTGAATTGGCTCTTAAAGCTCCGTCCAATTACAATAAATGTAGCTCGAGTGGTAATGGGACGGAGGAATCAGGTGTAGAAAACTGATCCTTAATAATTCTCGAGAATAATTCAGTTAGAAAAAAGCTGTTCCTTAAATTAGTAACAACAATCACAAAAACTGAATATGTACATGTTCTAGACATTGTAATAATCACAACACAAAGTATTTGAGGCATTTTACTTAATTGAATCTGACAAATCCAGTCCAATAAAACAAAGAGATGTTGCTCGTTTGAAGATTCGGAAGTTGTGTGCGTGTATGGCCAGAGGGCAGAACCTATAAACACATTTAATACCCAATAGCATTGTGAGGCTGAACAAAAGGACCTATTGACTATGTAAATGTAGTCTTTTTAAAAAAAAAAACATTTACTGACTTTTTTAGGATAACTTAAAGGTGGTAATTTTGGAGAAACCAGCTCTAGTGTGCTAGAATTTGAAAATACACAGCCGGAACAAATCTGCCACTTCCTTACAGAGTCCCTCCTCCAACACACATGAACGCGCACATGACCAATGAGGGCACGAGATAAGTTTGAGCACAGATGGAAGGCTGACAGGCAGGTAGGCCATCCAGTTATTTTAGCCGGGCCGGCTAAAATGATTGGTCGTGCTTTTTACAGTACTACGGCTTCCACAGATGACATTTTTTTATGGATTTTTTGTCAACGCACTTAAGATATTCATTGCTATCGGGATGTTAAGAGCATTCCATGGAATATAACAAGTGTATCTTGAGCCGGTTTCTCAAACTTACCTACCCCACCTTTAAGTAATGTTGTAAAATTACAACCGGAGGCCTTACAGGGTACATAGGAACACAAAACAAGTTGTCTCTTCTGTGAATTTAACCATCAACTTCTGGTCAATGTCATGCTCTGAAATAAATTATTTCTCAGTTTGGAGCTCATCTTAAGCTGCCATTGTATTTGCAAAATGTCACTTGCAATTAGAGTTGATAATGTTACTGAGAAAAGGTCACATAGAAACCTGTGTGGCGGTATTGGACTCTGGGGCTGATTCACACACCCCGCTCAACAACACCAAGCACTCAGTCTCACTCCTAACTGGCCGACATGTTTTCCCGGTCATTGTGCTTTCAATTACACACATCTCCATCCATCCATCCATCCATCCATCCATCCATCCATCCATCTTCTCCCGCTTATCCGTGGTCGGGTCACACATCTCACTGATTAGATTTACATTTCACTTTTTATGGTTGCTCTAATTGGCAAAGATGATTGCAAATTAGGCAAGAGGGCAAGCATAGCCTTGGCTACCGTCTGTCACCTTGAAATGGACAGACTAACACACACCTGGCTTCTGCGTGCCCATTAATCTGATAATTTCATGATCGGGGTGAAGCAAGTGATCAAATTTAATAGGGTTCCTATTTTCTCCAGCGGCACACTTTCTGACATGGCATTTTGTGACCTCTAGCTCGGATAAGGGAATTATTTGTGGCTAATTAGCCTTGTAGAGTTTGTGTCAGTCATATATTTCTGTGGCTTGTCTAATTGTTCTGCTTCATGTTTTTTGACCCCTCAGGCCTCAGTATTACAAGGTGATAGAAGAATGCGTGTCCCAGGTGGTTCTGCATCGCAGTGGGATGGACCCTGACTTTGGCTACAGTAAACGATTGGACGTGGACTTCACCCACCTGATTGGTACTTTTTGAATGGCTTCCTATTTCCTCATTCATTAATTTGACATTTGTGTTGGCAGTGGTTTAAAATGATTCATAAAAGTCTTAACATGTTGTAGTCAAGATCCTTATATCCAAACATCATGCTCAATTTCACTTGTTTTGAACTAAACGCGTACATGAGGCATGTTATTGATGTTAGTAAAAAAGGTCACTGTATTTATCCACCCTGATATTTTCTCTGACAAACACCTGCAGTGGTTCGACCTATAAGACGAGGTCGTTTAATTATTCATGAATAATACATTATATATGGTGAAATGAATTCAGCCAGTTCAAAACCATTGCACATGTTGTTTTCCTGAGTTACTCATTTGCAGAGCGGTGTTCCTGGAATCATAGACAACACATCTTTTTGCACTGCATTTCTAATGGAGAATTATTTTCAAACAGAGAAAATATATAAATAACACCACTTTCTCGCATCTGTTGTGTCACAAACAGTTCTGCGACTTGCCAACAAAGGGTCATTACGCTTAAGTTTCTGACATATTCAGAGAGAAATATCATATTATTGAATAAGTTCTTTCACTCACTTTACTGCGATTTAATCGGTTGAGGAAAATACTTCACATAAAATGCAATAGGTGACATTACATATCATCATGAGTCATTTGAAGGTGCGTCTCCTCTATTCTTCTTTCCCGTTTTCTTTCACATTCCGCTGTTTCCTAATAATTATTTTGAGAGGGGTAAACCTGCCGCGGGATGTGTGATCTAACAATAATTTACACCTAAAACTTGCATATACACTATCCTTCAGGTGATTCATTTCTACAGTAGGTTAATTGTACTATGTGGCTTTTGAAAATCTACCCAAATACAACAAAAAAAACGAAACACAAAAATACATTTTTTCACTATTAAAATAAAACATTTTGACTGATGTCACGCAGACTGTATGTAAAGCAGATTTTGTAATGATTTTTAGTGATTTCAATGATATACCCTTAACATCTAAGGTTATATGAATCATATGAAGGGCTTGAATTCCTTCATGATGCACGTTTTACACATTTTATAGTGATAAGCATCTATCAGCTTTGTAAGCCAATCTCAAGATGTAAACATTTAATAGATCTAACATACCATTTTAGACAGATTTCCAATCATACAAGCTCTAATATACTTTGAGAAACAAGAGCCAGGTCTAATTATAACTTTCACATCAGCAGGTAATGATGCACATCGCTCCTTTGAAGTATCTCCTAACTGTGGCGCTCTTGTCTTGCAGATCAGTGTGTGGATAAAGCCAAAGTTGAGGAGAGTGAGCAGAATGCTGCAGAGTACTCCAAAAAGGTGAGACATTAATCACTCCCAACAGCCTCCTCGGTTGGCTGGCTCCCATCAGGAAAGTTTTTCCTCCCTAAGAGCTCCCAGACAAGCTATTGATTTTCCATGCCCTGATCAATACCTGGGTGTGACGCTACATGATCTGTATCAGCATTACAAGAATCAATGCCGATGTACTGATGTATACTTATTTGTGCACAGAGTTAAAATATGTGCCGGCTCTTTTAATTCTGTTCTGCATTTCAAGCTGGCTCTTCAAGGCGTTCTCCGTTTATCTAACATTTCCTTTTAAGGTAATTACATAGATTAATGGTTGAGAAGGTAGCAATTTCTAAAAATAACTTGATCAAATCTGAATCAATACTCTTCAGTACCAATTTCTTGCCTGAATTGCATTACAATATACTGTTTTTCTGTATTATGAAAACGTTAGTTGACAGATTATTTATCTCATGCACTGCTGTCAAATATGAGTGCAGCAATTATGATAAAATAGATTTTTTAACAAAAGTTCCCAAATGAAACATCAATTGTGTCTTTTATTAATTTGATAGTGAAAACATCTAATTTGAAACCTTACCTCCTGCTTATGTTTTATGATCTTTTAATGTATCTTAAAGAGCCTCACTTTCCCTGACTGGTAAAACACCCAGGGGGTCCTGGATGTTTTTTTTCTCAAGAATCCTGTGATAGCAGCCCACCGTCTACCCTGCTGGGCCATTGAAATCATTGTAGCGACATGTCTTGGTTTCTGCAAAGGTTAGATCCATCAACATTAATGAAAGCCATGCCTGAAACAAAGACGGAGGACACCAGGGTTTTGGGGCCATGAGAGCTATGAATAGAACTCGGCCAGTGTAAGACAGCGTGTTTTGGTGGCTGTTGATGTGCCCTGTGGCTGCTCTCAGGAGACAATGTGCCGCTCACCAACCTGTGTGTGTGTTTTCATCCATCTCATATGAGCACATACTTGCTTCTCTTTTCTGACAGTTTGATGAGGAGTTCAGTGCACGGCAGGAGGCCCAGGCCGAGTCTCAGAAGAAGGAAGAGAAGATCAAAGAGTTGGAGGGGAAAATCCAGGCCCTGGAGTCCCAGGTAAATCCATACAGAGGAATCCCACTGCTCTGCAAAACAGTTTTCTATTCCCCTAGACATCTTTTAGATTGTATGTTTTCCAAAAAAAAGCACAAAACAGAAAGTACTGCAAATTCTAATATCCAAAAGTTCTTTTGATCACTGTTCTAAGTGGGAAAAAAAACACTAATGCAATCTTATATTGAAAAAAAAGGATGTTTATCCTCCAGAGATAATGGCTCGTCTCCATAAAGAGCTGATTTGGTCAGATTTGGTCCATGCAAGAACACTTGATTTAATAAAGGGTCAATCTCCTTCTTAAGTTGTAGCTGTTATATAGGCGAATTGCTCTATTGAAGCTTTTCCTATGTAATTATATCATCACAGAGATGGATTGCATTTCCTTTCCTGGACTCTACTTCATTTCTCCCCATGCAATACCCTCCATTTTGATCACAGAAACTGACTGCTATTTCCCCCTTAACCCAATTCCAAATACTTTAGTACTGCCTTGGGACAAAAGGGCAGTTTGCCTCGCTGCTTAGGGAATTTCATATAAACCAGCTTTGAAAGATGGTTTAGCTACATTTATATCAGAAATTGCTTTTTCTTTCAAACATTCATCTCAGGTTGCTTAGGCTGTCTGATAAACTGCACCTGCATATGTGGTCCATCACTGGGAATGTTCTCGTTCAGTTGTAAAATAGTGTTACCCCAGCCTCTAGCAATCATTCTTAGGTTAACAACAAATGCTGTTATGTAGTACAAGCTATGGCTGTTGTCCTGGCCAAAGTCACGCATTGTTTCTCTCCTCAGAACTTATTATGTGTGTAGCTCTTACTCTTGAACTTCATATCCCAGAATCCCCACTTGTTTCCTTCATGCGTACCCTACCATCACTCAGTCTGTTCCTGATGAAGGCCTGGCTGTTTTATTGAGAGCATCTACATGTAAAGTTCCTGTCCAGCTGCTCCGCTTGCTCGCCCCCTTCCTCCCTGGCTCTCTCCTTCTTCCACCTTCTGTCAGATATGAATGCACCAGGCTGTGTTACCTTTGCTTGCCCTCTCTCCCTTGTTGGGGCTTCTTATGTTGTGTTTCCAACACATCTTCCCCTCACCCTCCCCTGGCAGGCCTCTGTCTTTTGAAGACTGACAGACTATGGTGCATTAACAGGAGGTGTAAAGCAGAGAAGCCCCTGAGAGTCAAGCCCTCTCTTTCTCTGTTTGTCTGACTGCTCCTTCAAAGAGCTGTTACTGCAGGAGAGCCTCACATCAACACACATTAACCTCAGCCGGGAAACGTGTAATTAGTTTGGCACAGACTTGCATGGATGTGGCCATAAGGACCTAAGTATATCCATATGCAAGTTGACAAAGCATACATTAAGTGTATTTACTTTACTTTCAATGTAAATCCATATTATCCCTTTAAAACCTTAATGTTCACTCCCCTTATGTATTTCATCTTAATACGAGTTGATTATTGGGCTGTAAGGGCTTCATTAAAAAACAAAAAATAAGATATCTTCTAATGTATTCAAGTTCTGTATTAGTAATTCAGAGTTATGTCCTGTTTTTTATATAAGGCATGTGTTCACATAGACCATTCAATTGCTACCTTAAGAAATGAACTAAGCAACAGTGTCATCCTCTCAGATGGCTGAAAAAATGTGTTTTGCATCCCAATTCAATCTCGACACAATGTTGTCGAAGGCCATTAACTGAGAGCTCAGAACTTTTTAATCAGCTCGAGGACACGCATTCAGTTTGTCCATCAAAGATGCCGTGTTATCAATGTCGTTTTGCTGAATATGAATGAAGTGGGAGCTAACCATAACCTTTCATCTACTACTTAGAATTCCTGTCCGATATTAAAATACATGCATGCCTGAGTCGCTCCTCTTCACCTTGTTTGTGAACCAACACATTTAATGAGAGTCTTTGTCTGGGATCTTTGGCATTGTAACAAGCAGCCTCCTTGATGTGTCTGTTTGATTATCTCCCAATCGACTTGAGTGGAGGTTCTGCATGTAAACATAAACAAAGGACATATGAATCACAACAATTGGAAATCACAATCGGTTCCCAATCCTTTGCCTTCAACCATTGGAAGCTAGAAAAAAGGAAGCTATTGAATTGGCTCCGGATGTGATGAATAATGTAGCACTGCAGTGGTACAGTGGAGCACTCTGCACCATCCCATTAATAGGTTGTAACAACCTGGCGGTCTTGTAGCTGACCCGGCTCAGCCCCCAGAGGAGCTGGAGGTGTAGTGCACCACTTCCTCTCTCTTTTTCTGTCAGCCTCCCCCGACTGATTACTGAATTTGACTCACCTGATAATGACAGCAAAACTCACAATGTAGTCTCTATTATCCTCGGAGAGCCGATTGAGTTGTTAAGTCAGACATGTACTGTCAAATTCACTGTCATTCAAATGTGTTATCCAAGCAGCCCTACATGAACAGAAAATGGTGGTCAAAAGAGCTTGACTTCTAAGAAAGCAAGACGTGCCATATTCTATCTGATTTAATTCTTTGGCTGGTTCTTTGGAGCTACGATATCTCAAAGCCTCAAAACTTTAACCCTTAAAGAAGGAACACATCCTGTCTTCGCTTTAAAGATTTGACTTTACTACAATTTCCTCAACTTCTTTCGAAATTAACGTTTTTTTTAGCAACCGTACCCAAAAGTTTCCATCTCTTTTCAATTTCAGACATACACTATTTAGTTTTCTACAGTCCATAATTGGATGTGTTCTGTAGGAATGACTCCATTAAAATATTACATTTCAGTTGCTGTGGAACACGTTCCAGGCGTCTTTCTTTTGGCAATGTTGCACAGAGTGAAGTATCAAAGCAAAATGGGTACATTTCTAAAAAACGAAGAAGAATACAGAGTGAAATCAATGCCCATCACACATCTAAGAGTGTTAAGTTGAAATGTATTTTGTGATGCCAAAAAAGAAGAAAAGGGAAATGGAAGCAGGGTTTTTAAAGGTGCACCAACTGTCAGTGAAGCTGTGCCTTGTTCCTTTCATGCCACAGTCAGTGCTCTACACTGATGTTCTTTTGAAGGTAGATTACATCTTGTTTCAGGTGTATAGGTGCGGTACACTGTGCCTTTTGCACATCAAATAGCTTGTTTAGTCATAATGGGAGTAACACAGTGCATTTGTCATTAACTGTGTAATGGACATCTTCTTTTCCCTGCTTGCCTCTTTTCTTGCTTTTCTGTGTTTGGTGTGTGCACCATACCTGATCATGTGTACTATAGGGTTCTTATTCTTTCCTGTCTATCTAACCCACGCCCATTTGTGCCTTTCTGTTGCCCTCTGTGTGTGTCCCATGGTGTGTGTGTGTGTGTGTTGGTTGGTTGGTTGTTTCTGCACAGTTAACTATTGAAAAAGACAAGCTCACAGAGGCTCAGAGACTCATCAGTGAATCTGAAGCCAAGGTGGGTGTCCTCTTTGCATGTGCAGCCCTGAACACAATCACACTTTTAACAACCTGCAAATACAATTTATCTTTCAAACAAATTATATTGTGGTGCTTCAGATATGTTGTTAGAAAACAAATCTTAAACCCTATATTGAATTGATTTGTTGTCTTATCTGTTGTCCTCTGTGTGCCTCTCTACATATCAAGCAAACATTTTAAATACATATATCACCTATCAATTTGATTATAAATGATCTAACAGCAAATTTAAAATGTTCAAACTGAAATGCTATAACATTAACACTGAATTGATACACAACTTGAATGACTGCATGATTCTTAAAATAACTAATCCGTAAAATTAGCCTGAAATAAAAACATTTTTATTAAAATGAATAATATATTAAACTCCTTTTGTAGTTTTTACCTACAAACAATTCTTGTTTGTTCAATGCAAGTTTCCTAAGTAAACACTTTGTGATTGAATTCCCCTATCAGAGATGAGATTGGGGCATAGATTTAATCACATATAATTCACAGTTAATTACCTGCCATGCTGGCCTCCCAATTGAGTCCAGAAGACTAAGAATCCAAATTGGATGGGTTATATTTCATATTAGCCGCAATTTATACTTAACAAAGAGCTCCAGATGGGCTCTGCAGAAGTATGAAGAGCCAAAAAGCGTCAAAGAGAACCTTCACAAGCTGGCGAGAAACACAACATCAAACATGCAGAATCATAGAGTAATTAGAAATAAAATGTTAGAATGCAAATATTTCTATACTATGTCTTTGTCTTAATGTTTCTGTATTTCATCAATACATAATCCAATTTTTTTTTCCTATTGTATTTAAACATTAATCTTCCTATAATCTACCGTATATTGTACTTTAGTTTATTAATTCAGAACAAGACACGTGTAGGTTATGGACGTACAGTACATATTCCATGCAATACATGTTTGAGCATTTTGATAACAACGCAACACAAAACGTCTGATGTTCTCCAATATGACCTCAGTTTAAAATAGCTGTTTTATTTGAGTCCAAAGACACAATTATTATACACTTTACAACATAGGCATATCATTTTTATTAGATGTTTGTTTTAGTATCTTAGAAATAGGAAGCCAGTAGCGATGATATTGGATCCTCAGGGTTCTGTGAAACACTGGGCTTATAGAGGAGAGAGGAGACTAGAGAGAGAGATTGAGTCGAGAGATGAGAGGAGAGGAGGCACGAGAGATGCGGGAGAGAGAGATGAGAGAGAGAGAGAGAGCGAGAGCATGACTGAGCTGAGAGGACGACGAGCGGAGAGCACGAGAGATGAAGACGAGACATGGAGACGTGAGTGCCCGAGAACGGAGAGAGAGAGGAGAGAGTGAGAGAGAGAGAGGACGACCAGGAGAGAGGAGAGAAGACGAGATAGATGAGAAGACGAGAGAGATGAGAGACGAAGAGAGAGGGAGAGAGAAGAGAGAGAGAGAGAGAGAGAGAGAGAGAGAGAGAGAGACTCAGAGGGCCTCTCAGTTTGGAAACAACTGCGCTCCAATTTAGCAGCTAATTTGCTTCCATTTTCTCATATTAATCTTAAAAGAGGAAACGGGCCACGGAAGGCTTGAGATTGACAGACATGTCATCATTGATGTTGATTTTCTTGGGCAATCTGTGTAAGAAGCTCCCTTTTTAATTTTGGCCCTAATAAAAAAATCAGCCAGTTCCATTATGTAATGAAACACAACGTAATGTCTCTAAATATGAAGCCAATCACATGTTAGGCACACAATCAAGTGACTGGGGCTCACGCAGGATGTGGGGAATTGGTTTTGGAAATGAGAAGTGCAAGTGGGAACACTATTAGTTTAAAGCTGGCATCTAATCAGCTCCAAAGATCAAACTATGTCTTAGCCCGGGTGTCTGTAATTGTTGTATTTGCATAACTTTTTTCTCTATAACATTTTTCTACTGGCATAATCACTGACTACCTGTGTATGTGGTTTGTGTGATAGTGCAGACATGTCAAAGGACTGAAATAGTCTGTCTTATCAGTCTGTGCTGTAATTACACCCCTGTCTACTGTTTAATAGCCTGCCATTGTGAGGACTTATAATGAAGACTTGATGGGAAAGCAACATTCTTATCTTTTGTGAATTATAACAGCAGTAGATCACAGCTTTTTCATACATTTGACTATTTACATTGTTATCCAGCGAGATTAATGAACACAACCCTTTAACCAATGCATAACTCTCCATATAAAGCAGCATAATGGAAGGTAGCGTTCCAGTAATGTTATTCTAAAATCAGCTTAACGAGTTGTTTTTAATATCAGTGGCCTGAATTGAATCATAGTGTGAGTTGTGCCTCCAATGGGCAACTGAAGTGCAGCATATCTGTGTATGCGGTTATGTGATTGATAATGAATAATTCTATGATTGCTTCAGAGAACTATTGCTTTTTACAATCACCACGAGTTGAGTGTTATTTTCCAGCACAAGCTTAAGTACTGTATTGGCTAAATATCCCGGGTTCAACAATATAAGCCAAACACACTTATTAAACCACTTAAAAAACAATTAAGTACAGAAGGCAAAAAACAATTGTCCTAATTTATAAAAGCAACATTATAAAATCAAAATGTTCTTTATGTACAAGGACTTGCCACACAAATGATTGTGTCAAATTGATAAAAGATCTTTTAAATGGAAACTTATGATCAACATAATTGTATATAATTCATAGTTTTTAGCTTAAAGCTTGACCAATCAACTTGGCAACCACATACACCAACTCGGTTTTGATCATGATTTCCTTGGTAAATATAATTCTGAGGACAGCATAAGACATGCCATGAACTTGAAAGCAGCACCAACCTAGTTATCTTGAAATACAACTCAGTGAGGTTTTGCTTCATGACACACATCCAGCAGATCGAGGTTTAGATGAAGCACTTAGCACATCGTTTGATGTTTTGACCATCATTAACCTTTTTACCCTGTATTTGCAGATTGCAGCGGGTCCAACTGCGCCCGGACCCCCACCTCCACCACCTCTTCCAGGGGGTGGAGCGGCCCCCCCACCTCCTCCACCACCTCCTCCCCCACCTCTACCCGGTGGCTGTTTTCCCCCTCCACCACCTCCTCCTCCTCTCCCTGGTCATGCTGGGATACCACCACCACCACCTCCACCGGGCGGAGGACCTCCACCCCCCCCGCCACCCCCTGGCTGTGGACCCCCACCACCTCCACCATTCTTTGGGGGCCCAGGCGGTCCTCCACCCCCTCCCTCATTGCCTGTCATCAAGCTGCCTTACGGACTGGAGGCCAAGAAAACCTACAAGCCTGAGACCGTGATGAAGAGAGTGAACTGGACCAAGGTACGTAACCTGAGCTCTGAATCTCTGCAACTCATATTCTCAGGGTCTCTGAGAGGGATTTCAGACTGTAAGGAAACCATCGTTGACATTAACTACTATCCATTCCTTCACAATCACAAATGCAAACATAGACTTTAGAAAAGTGTTGAACCCTACAATATTAAAATGCAGACAAAAGTCTTAGATCCAAAACAAAACGGTTCTATTCAAATGCACTCTACTAAGGCAGTTTAGTCAAGCAGCCGTTCAGCCAAAGGCCACACTGTTCCACACTCAGCACCCATTTCAAAGGATTTAACAGTAAACAGTTTTCATTGCTCAAATGTCCTTGGATTTGCACAATTAGCATACTTAAATGAAACTGGGCTGTGTAACATTCCATCACATTTAAATTCAATTTCAACCTGACTATCTCTTGTGTGAGAGCGCTATTTTACCATAATTTAAACATCGCCTCAGGACATCTTAGCATTATTTTAATGGTTATTTGCCGATGCTTGTATGACCTTGCATCTTTCTCTACAATTACTGAAAGCAACCTAAACATCAGACTAGTTCTTTTGAAATCATGGAAGTACTGCACAGTGTACTCATTGATTTGAACGTATTAAATACATATATTATAATGATAGTGATTTTTATCATAGCCATCACTTTCTATCACTTCATCACAGTTAAACAAATTGGGATTTTGGAGTTAGAGGGACAATTATTAATAGAGTCATACAGCAGTGTGAAATATTATGTTACATGTTATGCAAACAGTAAAAAGAACAGACATTTTGTTTCTTAAAACAGGGTATGACTCTTTCTGCTTTGTAATATTTTATTTGACATTTTCTTGAGAAGTATCATCACGGTTTTGGACATATGGTTTGTGTGTATGCAGGGATGTGCACATGCACATTGTGTGGGAGTGTGCAGAGGTTAATCAGCAGGTGCATTGACCTTGCCTCCACAGGAATTGTCATTTGGTAATGCAAATTAAATTCATAACCACCTGAGGAAAAACAATCTGTGTCTCTCTTGTGTCGATTAATTGGGACAAGAGTCGTCTGTCTTCTCTATGTGTAGCAAATGGAAGTGGGAGTGCCAGGAGCAACTATGATTTAGTTGTATAAAGAGGAAAGAGAAACAATACATACTTTTCCTCTCACCTCTTTTCCACTTCGCCAGAAAAAGGTGTGAATTACTAGGAATGCATAGGAAAAAAGTGGCCTGTTGTATTATTGTTCAAATGTTATGTGGGCATTTCCACACTCAGGCAGCTTCTCAATGGGACAAGTTGTAATATTTTCACATTTTAAATTACAGTGCTAGGGATTTGATGGCAGTACATTCTTAGTCAGAAGCAGTAGTACAAGGCCCCCACATGGGAAACAACCAGCTTAGGCATACATTGGAAAATGTCAGCTTTGTTTAAGTGCTGAGTACATTTTATATTAGCCTGAGTTGTTTTTACCCTGCATGTTCTCCCACATCTGTGTCAGTGATTCCCACTGAAAGTTATTAGCAAATAACTGTGGGACTGTCAAAATGCCAACATGAACCATTTTTTTCTCGTTGCCATTTCAGCTATTTAATTTAGAATTTGAAAACTGTAATTATAATGAAGTGAGTATATTTTACATGCATTGCACATAAAAAAATAAAATGCATATAATTTAATGAGCTGATTAAGGATATCTGTAAACATGGACATTGGAGGAACAAAAGGCTGCATGGATGACATCGGATAATCTTGAGTCAGGCTAATTTTGAAGAACTATATCCAGCATCAACACATTTCTTCTCTCTAAAATAGATGACATCTTTATTTAGGTCAGGCCCAGTGTGAAACCCCAAGAGTTACAGTGTGCACCGCACTGGATTTGAAATACCATAAATTAGAATTTCCCCCAAAAAATCCCCAATGAATATTGTATCCAGTCTATTGGTGGTTGTGGAGGACATTCTTAAGAGAAACCGATACATGATTCATGGACAAAGTTTGTCTTTTGTTATATTTAATAAAGTAATAAAGGAAGTCAATATAATAATAATAATAATAATAATACATTGCATTTCAAAGCGCTTTTCCAGGTGCTCAAAGACGCTTTACAGTGGTGATAAAACATGATAAAATAGAATTTAAAAGTTATATAAGTGAAATCGATCCCACATGTCATCCTCAGAGGATAGAGTCCTTTGAGCATTTTTCTATTCAGCCCAATGCTGTATTTAAATCGATGTGGGATGAGTATGTTTTGACTCACCTTTTGACTAATAACTAACGTGGCTATTCAATAATACGACAATATTCTTTACCACTTTTATGATCTTGGAATTCCAATTAACAGAATGTCAGAATTTTAACAAGCAGAAACAACGTCATGAGCTGTAGAGATCATGCATTCAAACACATCTCATGGTGTAGCAGTTCTTCCAACCACCTTCATTTCTTATTATACATGCATCTGTTGGCCACAATCATTAGATAGTTTCATGTAACATAGCAAGGGTTTATGTTTTTAATTAGAATCAGATCATGAACCCTTTTTTAAAGCAATTGTTGGTCTAAGTCTTCCTTGAATTGCTTGTTTAAAGGACTATGGGCTTTGGCTACCAGTTGTTTTGTGTTATTAAAACAAATGTTGTAGTGTAGAAAAGTTGCAAATCCAAAATAATCCTCCATTATAGTTGTTTCTGGTTGTTTCATTTTGTTACTTTGCACTTCCACACTCACTCAACTTGTAAGCTAGTTCAATATTTGACTTGTTTCAGCATGAACTATTATGTTGAGTAAAACAAAGGGGTGCTGTTGTAGGTGTAAGAGATTTGATCAGGAAATATAACTCTGTTTTTCTGAATAGAGGCGCGTTGTTATCCAAACTCCACTCCAGCTCATGTTGAAATGTTCGTAAGCATTCCATTTAAACACCTAATGTTATCGTGAACTCTGAAACACCGTTACACTCATCACTATTTCGATATGGTTTTGGGAATTATTTCACAGCATCGGATGAAACTCTGTCTGCATCGCATACATGTTGCACTTCCAACTCTTTCTGTGCGTGATTACTGTGATTACGAGGTTAATGGCAGCAGTGAAAGGGGCCAACTGCAGGTCGAAGCCCTTGATAAGAGCTCTAACCATATTACTGTATCATAATGTACAGCAGATGTTGTGTTACAACATTAGCAAGTAATAACTTCAACATGTCAGATGGGTGTGTTTATGTCTGAATCTCTCTGTACACCTACTCTCTTGTCTACTGAGCAGAGAGTAGGTAATGAACAATGAGGGGAGTGAGGCATCCCTGTGGCCTGCTATCAGCTCAGTGTGTGTAGGTGCCTGGTTGCTTCTTAGAGACTTTTCTGTTTCAGGCAAGTCTATGTAGGAGGAGTGTATAAACATGGTTGCTGAGGTTTTGTGCAACCCTGAAAAATCACCAAGAGCTTTAATGTGAAGGTTTCAGTTAGGGCTGCTCGATTATGGCAAAAATCATAATCTCGATTATTTGGGTCATTAATTGCAATTGCGATTATTAAATGCGATTATTCATTGACTTTGAAAACATCCATTTATTGGAGGAAAAAATGTGAACAGTATGTTTTTAACAGTTGATTACCCTGAACTTTAATACTTTAATAATAATAAAAAAATAATGGTTTTATTTAGATTACGTTGTTTTCGTAATCGTTGCAAGCCATAATCGTAATCGCGATTAAAATACGATTAAAATACGATTAAAATACGATGAAAATACGATTAAAATACGATTAATTGAGCAGCCCTAATTTCAGTCAAGAACTAGCCACATGTCTTCATTTCGGTGGTCATATTCATGCATTTCTCCATAAAATGAAATAACTTATTTAACCTTGCAGGCTCCAGTTTTGCTTTTTTTTTTTTTTTTTTTTTTTTAACCTTTTTTGTGTTGTGTTGTGTTGGCTACTCAGATTCTAAGGATGCTTACACAAGGACATATGTGTGTTCAAACACACAACAACACACACAAACCTCATCTCCAGTGAGAAGAAGTTTTTGAGTGGCAGGTTGCTGGAATGGCGGTCTCTGATTGTGGTGATAATGGAATCCTTGTGTCATTGCAGATAGTGCCTCAGGAAATGGCAGAGAATTGCTTCTGGATCAAAGTCAAAGAAGAGAGGTTTGAGAATCCTGACCTATTTGCTCAGCTCTCCCAGTGCTTCTCCTCGCAGAGCAAAGGTAAGGAGGCGTCATCTGCCTGCATCTCTTCCTTAATGAATCTACACACACATGCTTCATTTAGCCTCTCAGACAATAGACGCCAAGCCACTTTCATCTTGTGACACTTTAAGAAGTCATTTTCCCCACTGAAATGTTAATTATCCTAAAACCAAGCACTTTTCCCACTGCATTTGAACACCATCTACAGTATGTCTGCTCTCAAGTCAAATATCTGTGCCAATTACGGATAGCAATTCGGTTGCTGCAGTGTTGTGTCTTTGAGAGACAGACATGCAATGTGGCTGCACATTGTGTTTGCTCTTTGTGCCCATTGAGGAGTAACAGATCAGTGTTTTTGTGTGCGGATGTGCACAAACTTGAACTTGTACGTATATGTGTGAACCGAGAGCAGTTATGCTTGGTTTGCTTCATGCCTTTTCCAGTCCAGTTGGCCAATTCTGCACCGGGGAAGACAGGAGGCTTTGGTGAAGGAAGCTCTGGGAGTTTTCTTGTCCCTGCCAGTTGTTTCTCAGATACACAAGCAGGCTACGTAACTCACTGATGAATAACACAAGCAGCACAGAGCAAGTTTGTTTTTGTATGGAAAGGAAATGTGTGTGAAGGCACATGATGTATTCCTCCCATGACACTGTGAGTGGTTTCCACTTATTTGACAGTGTTTGTGTGTTGTATATTCCTCTAATTCGAGCAGCAGTGGGAGGGGAGAAGTCAGTGCCCTGTCAAGCGCACAACAGTCAGATCTGAGCTCTGTCAGGGTGTGTGGACACAACTTTACAGAATCCTCCAACTTCTCCCATATTCCCACCGTCTGTTTGGACACCAGTCAGCCCGCCGGCAGCTTCTTGCTCTGTCTCTCTCCCCGCCTCCGGGTCTACAAACTAGACTCAACTCATTTTTGTTCCGTGACATACATAGCAACCTTTCCTCAGCTGCCGCTAGGTGATTTACCGTCATAATACAGATGGAAGGAGAATGTGGGAAGGAAAGAACAGTTATTGCGAGGCTAAATGAAGAAGCAGGGATAGGTCTCTAGTGTTTCATTAGAGGATATCTGCCAGACGTTATATATTTCAACACGTGCTCTCTGACATTTCTGAAGTCATTTAACCAGAGTCCTTTGCAATAACTATTTATGTATCTATTTTTTGGGTCTTTCATTTTAAATTTAGTGTCAGTAACTCAGTAAATCTGTATGTTTGCAAAGCACACCTGCTATAAAAAACATTTTCAGATGGAATCCTAAAATGAAATATGACTTAACATTTGGAGCTTCACAGACACACGGCATTAATTCAACTTTAAATGTCCTTTTTAATTATTTATTAAATTCACTTTGTCACCCACTGGGGTTTTGAAAAGCACAATAGATTGTCCATGTTCCCGCTGGCAGAGTAGGAATTCATGGTGCAGCATTTCCCACGGGAGTTGCCTTTGCTGGATCCCTATCAATTACCCCTGCAGCGACTTCACTGAATCAGCTCTTTTCCCTCTATTGTTGAAAGAGAACATGATTTGCTCATGAATGAAAAATGCTGCTTAATGTTTGATAACCACCCCCCCTCGTCAGTGAAGTTGAAAGTCAATGAGAAGGCCTTTGATGTAGATGGTATTGCAAAAAAGGTGTTAGATTGGATCTTCTTAACATGAAATATTAGTTCATTGGTTTTTCTATTTCCTGTTTCATGATTCACGCAGTATAATCTTTTAAATACATGCCATCTGAGGATATCAAAACGATAAGTGTGCTTCAATATTTAACATTTTCTCTTTAACATTCCTGACTTATTTCTGCTTTGAATATGACCTATTTGAGTAGTGAGGCCCCAAGTGGAGTCTGTTAACTTCTATTGGTTGTTGTGTTGAGCGGTTAGGTGGAGAAACGGTCCTGCACAAAATAATTCACGATATCTGTTACTCTCGTTGTAACCACGTACCATCAATCCTTTCTGCTGATTTGACAAACAAGTCAATGGTGAAAACAGACTTAATTTGTCTGCGATATTGCCCCCATTTTTTTTTATCGCACAAACACACACACATACAAACGAACGGACGCATGCACACACACACTTGTTTTTTTATCTAAGCTTCTAAACTTCCATCTTTGCCACACCTAAGACATGGATATTTATAAGTAAAGCACTCTTCAGGGGGAGTAGTGTATCGTGAAAGATGAGGCAAGCAGGTGTAAATGCCTTCCCTGCAGAGCTGCCCCCATAAAACGGTGCCAAAAGACGTCTGTTAACTTCACGGACCTAGGCATTCTTGCTTGTTACTTGCATTGCACTTTAGCAGTAAAAGTAAAAAAAGCAAAACAGAATCACTTTAACAGCCCCCAATTTTCAGAATCTTATTGTGCTCAGAGGCCTCTAAAACAACGGAGAAGCAAGACTGTCATCTCCCCTGCTGCTTTTATGAGTCTCACTGTTTAATGAGTTTTCCAAGAAAAGGAAATGATAATCAAGAGCGATTTTGAGCGCGGCTTCAATCTTCTAAAAAGTGGCTTTTTATTAATATATTTTTTGTTGTCATTTATTAAGTGATAGTTCTTTGGCCTGATTGGAAAATCATCACATATGTAAATTATTAGGTGTGAAGGCCACTGACATGTCACTGATTAAATAATACTGGCAACATCCAATTGTAACCTACCTCGGGCGACAGAGGCAACAACATGTCTTTAAAAACTATTTCACCAGCTACTTGAAATATGCATAATACAAAACTGTCAGTAACAGACATTGTGGAAAGTGGTAGTGACACATTCATATTTAAGAAACTTTTTTTTTTTAAGGCTAATTGAAATTCCTTATATTCTTCATATAGATCATACAACCTGTAAATTAATTTAATATGTTTTAACTTGGTTGATTTTGTGGAGTAAAATTACCAGCGTTGGTATGATTCTAATTGACTGCTTCTTTATAATATATAATTATAAATAGTTCTGTTAAATCATCATAAAACAACTGCATTTATTCAGTTGCCTCTGACGGCTGCTCAGCTTATTTTATCCATCTCTAATTTTGACTATTTTAAAATGGATTTATTGTCCACAATGTATCATTACCAGGTAAAATAACCACATTATATGCTTCCAATGCTTGTTCACATATTTAATAATCACACACAGTCAAGTGTACATGTACTCCGTGGGAAATATAGGCGCTTCTCCTGTGAGTTGAAATTGTGATACACTTAAACCTGCACCTTCTTCATTTATGTCAAGGAAAGTATTCCACCTTTAGCACCACTAAGTGTTTTGTGATCGGAAAATTGTGACCACCGAGCGATCTCTTATGAGAGACACACAACTCCTGCTCACCACCTCAATTTTCCCATCGTTTGAACTTGAATACATCACATTGAATAGACACTGTAGATCAACCTGTCAATGCCATAGTTATTTTATCTCACATAAAAAAAAAGTTTTTCCCTCACTTGGCTTTTCGCTCTTTCTTTACCCTCTTCTCCATTGACTTGGCTCTCCTTTTTTTCCTCTTACCCTCATCTCCCTTCAGTTCGCTTTATCAATCAGTGGGCTGTGCCTTTGTATGGCTCTTGGGATCAAATCAGATTCACTTCGGGATTGAATGTGTGTAGCCATGGCCTGCTGCATTTGAAAGGCAATTCATTCAGCTGGAACTTTGCAGTTCAATTTGAAACAAGATTGATGTTGGCAAACTTCACACCCTCTTTCCTTTCTTCCAAAATGTTTCCTCCATTGCACGCACCAATTGCTGACGGACTAAGGGCCTGTGCCACTTTGTAATGGTGATGTCTGGGCTTTTCAGGAACAACACAATGAAAGAGAAAAGTTACTAAACATCAACTGAAATCCCTGAGTATACTGTATTTTTCAATTTACAATAACATAAACAATATTTCAAAAACATGAAACCATTACTTACAATTATGTTACAGTCAGGTGAATACATATATTCATAAATATTCACATTTCATATCTTGAAGCTTTCATTAACGGTTCTATTGGTGTTGCGTAGCAGAGTGCTTTTTCACAATTTATGGTTTAAAAGTCAACAACGCTTATATTTCTGCACAGGGACAAAGGCCTAATGAAGATGTATGCACATCCTGAAGGAGGAATCAGAGCATTCCTCCCCTCTGAGCTGGGTCATTGGGACCTTTTCTTTCCCAGCATGCCTCAGTGTTAATGATGCTGGCTAATGAACATTCTTATCCAAGTGCTTGTGGTGAATAAGGCCGGAGGGGACGGGGAGAAGTGTTACCAAACCACACTGCACCTTTAAAAATAAATCAAAACATTGGTTGAGAGGTAGAAAGAGAGCTGTGAAATAATGGCTTAATATTGAATAACAAGGGAGTTCTTTGCCTGGAGTATTGTAGGCAGAATTTAGCAAATCATGTTTCACTGATGTATGACCATGAAATACAGCAAGTGCATTTCATTTCATTGTATTACTACGCCCTCATGTTCAGTGGAGAAACATCCTCCAACATGTGTTGTGCCTGTACGGAAAGGTCAGCCCTGGAAAGGTAGTTTGGTAAAACCTTTTCCACAAGTGATGGCTGCAGTCAACCACCCCCTCATCACATGGTATTTGATCAAATCCCTCAGGAGATCTCCTCACTCTGACACCCATTTACCTTCACCTCAATCTCTAGAACTCAACCCACACACACATCCTCTCCCCACCCATCCAATGTGGTGTGCACACCAGCACATTCTCAATCCTTGCTCCAAAGCCCCAGCAGCAGGGCGGTAATGACCCTGCCACAACGGCAGCAATGATGGAATCAGTGGGGGGTTTAGCTGGCTCCTGACTGCCCTTAATAAGTCCCCTAATAACTCTGTTAACATCAGGGCTGACCCGGCCACCAGATCAAACACACACACTCACGCATGGCCGGCCACCACCCATGACACTCGGGGACCTCTCAGTCAGGCAGGGAAACTGTTGCTGACCAGCCCACTGCCACACTGTGTGCCTGGAGCTCCACAGTGTGTATTCAAC